GGGTACAGACCAGAGGTGCAGGGGCCGTGAGAGGAATCACCAGAGACAGAGAGGGAGCAGAACATATAGACTGAAGAAGTACACTGCTGAGGGGATCAGTGGGCTGGTCAGGCAAGGTCTGCCGCACCATGTGAATCATCTCCAGGCTGGGGACAGAAGTCATGCTGAAGTGGCTTTAGCTTCTTAGTGCTGTGCTTTAACCCGCTGCACCACTAGGGAGGGCCCACAACTAGTTTTTAATTGCAATTAGTTATCACTAGATAGAGAAGTTGAGTTTAAGATACAATTGTTTAATAAATTCCTATAAACATTTTATTGAAATAAATTATTTGCATAGCAGTTTCCGCAGTGCCATTATCACATCCTTATTCCTGAGACTGTATATCAAGGGGTTAAACAAGGGAGTCAAGATAGTATAGAAAAGAGAAAGCACTTTGTCAGTTCCTCCTGAGTCTTTGGTCTTAGGTCTTAAATAGGTTATAATGCCTGAGCCGAAGAACAATACCACAACTACAAGATGAGAAGAACAGGTGGAGAAGGCTTTGGCCCGACCTGTGGCTGATGGCAATTTCAGGATTGTGGAGATGATTTTGCCATAAGAGACAAGTATCAGCAGAAATGGAACCATGACGAACAGCACAGCAACTATGTAGACCATCATCTGATTCACAAGGATGTCTCCACAGGCCAAACTGAGTATGGGGGGAATGTCACAGAAGAAGTGGTTGATGCGGTTAGAACTACAGAAGGGCAGAGAGAAAATCTGGTAAGTCTGCCCTATCTGGACTGGAATCCCACTGACCCAGGAGCCAGCCACCAGCTGGACACAGAACTTGTAGGTCATGACCAGAGGATAGTGCAGAGGGTTACAGATGGCCATGTAGCGGTCATAGGCCATCACGGCCAGCAGGAAGCACTCGGTAGCCCCCAGTATAAGAACACAACACATTTGTGCAGCACAAGCAACTAAAGAAATTGTTCTCCTCTGGGTCCAAAGATTTGCCAGCATTCTGGGGAGTGTAGCTGAGACATAGCAGGTTTCCAAGAAAGAAAAATTACCAAGGAAGATATACATGGGGGTCTGGAGATTCGGGTCCACTTTTGTTAACAGAAATATGGTACCATTGCCCAACAAGATAATAATATATATGACTAAGAACAATATAAACAGAAACCACTGGAGACGGGGAGCATCCGCAAAGTCCAAGAGAACAAAATCCATCCATCTAGTTAGGTTTTCTTCAGGAGGATTTTCTACTTTCATCTGTGGAAGGAGAATTTTAGCAGGTGATTTTTCATTTTGCCTTCATGAATCAGCTCTGTTTACATTGTATCAGGACATGTAATTGGTTTTTAGGATGACGGTAATCTGTTCTACTTTAAGATTGTTATCTGTTCTACTTTGAGATTGTTACTTTAAGATCGAATCATTTTTGAATCATTTTTATGGATAGCATGTTCATAAATTATGTATATTCATATATATAAATTATATGAAATTACACCCCATGATTTTAGTGGTTAAATCATATGTATATAGCATAAACTATGTAATATTTGGCTTTTTTTCAAGTGGATAACAAGGTAAAAAACAGATTTACTCTGTGTGCTCTAAAAATTTTATATATGCTATTTTCTTTAGTAGATATGCTTCAGTTCTCTTTAGTAATGTGAAAATAATGTCTTCATAATTTTATTTTAAATTCAAAACTATATTCCCTGAAAAAGTCCATGTGATGAAGGGAATATGTAACCATGTTCTAATAGTGTAAGTTACCTAAGCTTATTTGATATAAACTAGTAAACCAGTCTTTGAAATTTAGAAAATATGCAGCTTAAACCTTTTTTTATTATTATATGAAGTCATTCATTTATAACAATTTCCTTAACATAAAAGGTTCTCAAAGGATGATATTTATGTCATGGCTTGATATACTTTAGACCTTTTATTACAGTGTCACACTAAATACACAAATACAAAACTACCTTATTATAATTCCCTGGCTCAAAATGAAGATTTTTTATGGTTTATTACTTATACCTTGAAAAATGCTTTACATGTTATAGTTTGCAGTATTTAAAATGATTTAATGTCATCATTAACAATTGACAGTAAGTTGTATTTAATAGAATGAGAAAATGTATTAAAATCACACATTTGCTACTATGTATTAAATTTATTTTTAATTTAGAAGTCATATAAATTAAAGTTTAATATTAATATAAAATAGTTCATATTTACCTTTATTTGATATGATGCTATTTTTTTTCTCAGTATAAGCACTTACATATTTAAAGTGCTGTAGGTGAAACCATCAACAAATCAGATGATCTCTGTGTACATAAAGTGCTCTTTAAATACATAGTTACCTCTGCCCTAGGGATCTCTACCACCTGATGGAGCTAAATTTCTCATGACATTTCTAAAATCATCACCTTGGCACTCTCTGACTTGTTATATTTTATTTTTCTGAGAGATCTCTCTTTGTTAATGCTGTAAACCACCACTAACTTACTGAATAAATATTAAAAAGAAAGGAAAAGCTAGCTAAAAATAGATTATTCGTCATGAATTAAATACAATCCTCCAAGATAAAATGAGATAATATTGACATAATGGGAAAATACTTGCCAATATTTCTAATGAAGTGGTCTTGGCTTACTTTCAAATATCATTTTATTTTTTTTAATAAAACACATATGCAAAACTTTAGTCACATTTATAAACTCCAAAATTGTTAGCAAAGATTTTAAAGTACCACAGCATGTCGTAGAAGGTGTCGCCATCATTAACATTTCTTGCAAACACTCTCTCACCTGTGATTCACTGAGGTACCACATCATAGGGTAAAGCTGGGTGAGATATAAGTCAAACTCCATTGTGTTTGTGTTAACTGACTTGTCTTATACATTAAGTTCTAAGTTCAATTCTCAGGAGATGAACTTCACCAACAGGTTCCCTCTGATATAGCTGAGCTTTTAGTCATGATATTTTTTCAATTCATTTTGTTTTAGCTACTAAAATATGTTCCACTCTCTAAACAAGCTCCTTAAATAGATATATCCTTTTATGCCAGAGAAAAGCTCTACTAAATAACAGGCATACTTTAAATGTTATTAAAAAAGGGAAAGTACCTGACAATAATGTCTTGGTCATAACTCAGAATTTAGCACAGTAAAATCATGGATAATCAAATTTTATGGAAAATCAGATGACTATTTTGACAAACAATATATCATAAGTTACTCTCCATTCAGTCTAAGTGGTAATCATTGGTTATGTGTGTCACATAAATGAAAAACTTTTCCAAGGGAGAACTTCAAGAGGTTGCCTCATGCGGAATGAGCACATCAGGAAGACAAATGGGAGGGAAAGAAATGTAGAAAATACAAATATCTCAAGCATTTTGTAAAGTACAAAGGAAGACATACTTTGACTTTTAATTGGTCCAAGTTCATAATGACATAATCATTAATTGATATTTTTATTGAAATACACTCTGTTTACAAACACCCTGTTTACATACACCCTGTTTAGATAAGGAAAGATTTAAATAGCACATTTAAAAAAAATCTAAGCATATAACCACAGTGCAAAGAAAATAATACTAATGAGAGGGCAAGCAGGTTTTCTTGCTCAGATAGTTAATACTGTAAAAAGTCACACCCCTCAAAAATCGTACTGTGCTAACTCTCCTTATGAGTTTAGATATCATAAAATGTCTCTTAATATGAGCTAATGATTCCAGAATCTGGAAGTTGGGAGGGAGGCAGTCATGAATGGTTCTGTGACAGAACCATCACTTTTGATAATATCAATTCAAAGGTTTGATATGATGCCAAACACTTCCGAAAGGGTTAAAAGCATGAAAGATTAGTTACATTGCTCTGTTTTTAGTACTTACGTGGATTTTGGTGGAATTCTGAAAATAACTAGCAATGCGTCCTTCTCTTGAAAGCTCACAGGTGCTGGGATATTTTTAACTATGAATTGGTATGGGAATGACTATAAATGAGAAGAAATATTTATATATGTAATAATGAAAATTAATTATACTTATACTTTAAAGTGCAAATTATTTAATAAAACATATTCAATAATATGAATATAAAGGATTGTGTTAAATTAAATGGATATGATAAATAAAAAATAGTTCAAAGCACATTATTGTGGAGCCAGATTGCTATATAGAAATGCCTTCAAAGTAAACTGTGGATAAACATTCTCTGTGTATCAAGCTTCATCAGAACACTATTGAGAAAAAAAACTGAGTGACGGTAAGCTGTAGCTTTGATGAGTGATAGTCCACATAGATGTGCTGCATGTTAAATAAACATGCTAGATTGTTCACTGATGCTCTGCAATTCCTAGATTTTGCTAGGAATCCATTATAGGTCATAGCCACATTCACTGATTCATTCAGTCAATTACTCACTCTACAGTCATTCATGTTAAGCTGTTCTTTGTCAGTGTCTATGTGATGGAATCCCAAAATGCTATCAAATAATAGAGGAAATATGTTTAGACATTTAGGTAAGTATCCTATATTCATCTGTACATTTCAGTGAAAAATTTTAGCAGATTGAATTTATTTGTTTTTTAATTTTTATATGGATGTCCTCATGCATCTTACTCTTTTATAGAGAAACAAGCTATTCTGTGGGCATGGAACATTGAAGACAGGTTAATTTGCCTCGTATAGATGTGTGCACAATAAAGACCGCCTACTAGTTAGAAGTGGCTAAAAGCGCATCCTTTAAGTAGCTTAAAGGAAATGTGGAGAGTGTGATGTTTTGCTTAAAAGTAGCAAAACAGAGGCAACTGTTACAAGTCAACTCATCACACTATTTTTTAAGGAATAATTTCCTCAGTGCTGCGATGACATCCTTGTTCCGAAGGCTGTATATCAAGGGGTTAAACATGGGAGTCACTATGGTGTAGAAAAGTGACAACAGTTTGTCAGTTCCTGCAGAGTGATTGGACTTTGGCCTTAAGTAAGTTATAGTAGCTGACCCAAAGAACAAAACCACAACTATGAGATGGGAAGAGCAGGTGGAGAAGGCTTTCGCCCGTCCGCTGGCTGTTGGCAGTTTCAGAATCGTGAAAATGATTTTGCTGTAAGAAGCAAGTATCAACATGAATGGAGCTGCAATAATCACCATAGTGGCTACATAGATGGCTATCTCATTTACAAAGGTGTCCCCGCAGGCCAGCTTGAGGATGGGGGGGATGTCACAGAAGAAGTGGTTGACTTGGTTGGAATTACAGAAATGCAGAGAGAAGATGAGGCTTGTTTGTCCAATCTGGATTGGGATTCCCGTGACCCAGGCACCCACAGCCAACTGGACACAGAACTTGTGGTTCATGACCAGAGGGTAGTGCAGGGGGTTGCAGATGGCCACGTAGCGGTCATAGGACATCACGGCCAGCAGGAAACACTCAGTAGTCCCCAGTGTAAGAAAAAAATACATTTGAGTGGCGCACTCCAGCCTAGAAATACTTCTTTCCTGAGTCCACAGGTTCTTCAGAATCCTAGGGAGGGTCACTGACACATAACAGATTTCCAATGAGGAAAAGTTAGCCAGGAAAAAATACATGGGTTTCTGCAGCGCATGGTCAATCCTGGTTACTATGATGATGAGGCTATTTCCAACTAAGATAATAATATAAATGATGGTGAACACCCCAAATAGTAACTCTTGGAGGTTTGGAAGGTCAGAAAATCCCATGAGTACAAATTGCATCACAGAGGAAGCATTGTCTTCTGATTTCGTCTTATCATAAAGCATCTGTAAGAATTATAATAATAACAATAAGCACAAATAGGGTTACTTCCTATAGACTTGTTCTCTTATGCAAGAACTAAAGATAGCGTAGCATCAATTTCCTATAAAAACCAAAACTGTAACAGGTGCCCTGAAAGTATGGTGAACTCTATTTTTAATTAATACTAAATGCAATTGTAAGAAAATTATTACTTTTCCCTCCTATTTCTTTGTGTTTGACAATAAGCTAATGCAATTTTGCTATTCATCTAGACTTCAAAATATTTTTAGTGATTTTAAGTCTAACTGTAACATTTCATCTTTAAAACTATTTACTAGTGGTTTATAATACTAAACACATTTCAATTATTCCAGTTGATGTTTTCTTTACCTCTCAGATTGTCTTTTTTTTTTTTT